GGTTGGCACTAAACAGCACCACCTTGCACCAGCTGCACCACTGCACCACCATAACTGCACCCCCTAATGATTGCACCACCTTAACATAACTATCAAAATGATATATATTGTAATAAGGATTATTTTACAGTAAAATTTTAAAACTTTATAAATCAATATTATGACTTTAAAACTTAAATTTTAATTTGTAAATTTTTTGTTATGCTTGCCATTTAATCTCGTTAATTATTAAGTTTATAATAATACATATAATGTAATATATTCAACGTCTAAAAATATTATATCTATTTATTTAATACAATGTATGTTTAAATTAAATTATACTGCTCTATGAAAATATCGCATATAGAAAATTAAAACATTTACATATATTGTTTTAATAATTGATATTGTTTTTATAAAATATAATTAAATTGATATTTATAAAATTACAATAAATATTTTAGATAATAGTTGTTAAATTGTCTTATTCCAAATTTAATTGGTTTAATAGTAATTTTATTTAGATTTTTGAAATATCTCTCTCTCATTAATTAATAATTATTTTAATTATTCTGCTTTATGTATTATGAAATTCTTTATTTGAGTCATGGTGGTGCAGTCATGGTGGTGCAGTCGGGTTATGTTGATACTGACCAATATTTGGTGGTGCAGTGGTGCAGCTGGTGCAAGGTGGTGCTGTTTAGTGCCAACCTACAAACGGTGATTTTTCAATATTTATAAAATAATATAAATTCCCATATATTTAGTATATTTTTACTTATTAAATACAGTTGTAATTGTATTATATTTATAATTACATTAGGCTAATTGTGTTTAGCACTTATTTATTTGAATTCAAATTTAGTGATAAAATTGTTATAAATCATCAATTATTATAAATAATCAATTGTTATAAATATTTTGTCAATTATTATACAATTACTATTATTTAATTTTAGACAGCTGATTTAGATGATCGTTGATCAACTCAAAATTGTTATAAACTGTAAGCCTTATACCAAAAGCTATTAATTATTGAATAAGATATTAAAATAATTAAATTTTGGATGTCAGCACCATCGGCCAATAATATAGTAGTTGTTAAAATAACGTTGTACATTTTTTAAAATTATGGCTAATATTATATAACATTGCTAAATGTTTGGTACATAATTGCAATAACATTTATACGATATTTAATTATCAATGCAAGAGTTATTTAACAACCAAAAATATAGTATGTCATTATAAAATACACGCAGTTGGGAACTGATCAAGGCAAAAGTTTTTTAATGATTTTTACCATTTAAATTAAATATTCCGATGATGATAGTTTCATTAATAATAATTTATAGCCGGATTGATAAATGTCAGCGCAGCTTAAATAATGAATAAACTATGTTTAATTTATTTGAAAATGGAAATATACACCAAATTTATTTTATACAATTATTTAATCTAGTTGATTATATTGACATTTAAACTTTAATTAAACTATTTAAATAAGTTTTGAATAATTGAAAGAGAAAATTATTGCAAACTCGACAAACAAAACTATAATTGAAATTATGTATAAGACTAATAATTTTCTAATTAATATAAATATACTAGATAAACCAAGCTGGGACATTTCAAACTGGTCAGAGGCAAAAGTATGCGCGTTATATTCACTGCGATCAATATTAACGTTGAATAATTTTAGATAAAGCATTTGGGTCCAGTGTTCTATTAGGCCAGATTTCTTTATATTGGATAAACTAAATAAAAACAATATATTATTAATAGTTGACACATGCTTAGATTGCTAATAAATATACAGTATATTTACAATTTATTTAACTCGTGTGTATATATTGAATGTTTTTGTAAACCAATGGATATTAAATATGTGGCGAATTGTGTGTCAATCGATAGTTTAGGTAATGTTTGCCGTCGTATATGATAGTAATACAGGAAAAATTGCAGTGTATTTCTCTTAGCAATTACTGAATAAATACGATCATGGTCATTCAATTTTTGCATCAAAACTGTTATATACTTGTGATGTTGAATGAATCGACCGATTCTTGCATAATATACTGATTCTTTGCTCTGTTTAAATATTTAATATTATAATTATTGTTAATAATAATTTCTAATATAAAAATTAATTAATTTAGATTAAAGGTTTATCAATTAATTATACAGTATTAATGCTTTATTTATTATTAATTTTATTTTTACCTCGATCAATGACATATAATGTGCTTCAGTCGATAGTGTCTGTAAATAGTGTGACTCCTGAGCGTCAGCCAAGTGTTCAATGGTGTGAATCCAATGCCCACTATTGCTGGCAATTATTGAATAAACACATCCGCCGTATAGTGTACTCAACACTACACATGACAGCA